TTTTTTTTTTTTTCTCTTTGAGTTTCTCCAGGGTTGATTCTTTATTTGTTAATATTGTAGCGGATGTTCAGTACTCGGGTTTTCAATTGATAAATTGATGTTTCAGTATTGGAGTTCGCCTTTTTTAAAGTTTTTCTGCGACTGCGTGTTGATCTGATTTTTTTTTTTTTGCCACTTCTTTCAGCGTAACTTTATATGGTTTCAGGTAAAGCGAAGTGGCTCAAGGGGGGCGTTAATTTGGCTTCACGAAATAATGGTTAGTCTTCTTTGTTTTGCTGGCTTTTTTGTTGTTGTTAAAGTTATCGTTAGAATTTGTTGGTAGGTTGAGCATAAATGTGAACAGAGGTTGATGAAACTTTTTCTTGTTTGCCTGTTGCCTTTACCTTTAACAGTCTTGTTTACCTGAGCGCTGTAAAATTAATTTCATCGTTTGGTCGTATTTTTAAGAGCTTCACAGTAAGGATTAAGAATAAGGCATGAGTGATATGGAAGTGGACTTTGAAAGTGTTTAAATTTGGAGAAACAGCTTTTGAAAATTCATTTATAGAAAACAGATTTAGATAATTCCTTCATGAGCTCAATTAATTTCCAATGCTGTTCTTGATATTGCTATTAACAGTACAAAAAATTGAATTTTAATAACTGTTTGCCTAGTACTTCAAAAAAATATATTAAGTGTTGGGAATCCGATCGGGGTCCATTTTTATTATATACCCACAATATATTTTTCATGTTCTAGGGTGACTCCGTGGTGACCATTAATACAAGGAAGTTTATGACCAATAAACTGCTAGCTAGACGTCAGATGGTAAGTATGCTGCTGTTACATTTGCTTATAGGATTTCTTTTGTGCCAGAATGAGTCGTCGAGTTAATTTTCTAATTATTTTATTTATTTTAAAATTACTATTTATTATTGTTTCTTTTTCTATTTATTTAAGTGCTAATTTACTTTTATCTTTTACATTTTTTTCTCTCTAAATTGGGCGCATTTTTTTTTAAATTTAACCGCTTTCCGGTTTTTGGGATGGTTAGATAGTATTGCCTGGAGGTTCTTCAGTATTAGATTAAAAATTCATTAAATAGTTTATACCATTAAGGGGCATTTTTTAATCATACTGATTACAATAATTTGCCGTCTTTGTACCGCAGCTTTGAAATTATTAAGTCTTATTGTCTTTCGCCGGATTTTTCAGTTGAAAAAAAGTCACTGAAATTCTTGCCGTGTCTTCTTCATTCTGTTACTGCTTATTTTTTGCTAAAATCCAGTCTTACAGGTAGTTGATGTACTCCATCCGAACAGAGCATCAGTTCCAAAAAGTGAGATTCGTCAACGGTTGGCTCAGATGTATAAAACAAATCCAGATTTGGTTTTTGCCTATGGTTTTAGATGCCATTTTGGTGGTGGTAGGAGTACGGGATTTGCTCTCATATACGATACTTTAGATTTTGCCAAGAAGTTTGAGCCTAAATACCGTCTATTAAGGGTTGGTACATTCCTCTCTTTTCGACACATTCAAATCAAAAGTATTAATATTTTTAACTTTTTCTTTCTTCAACTATTAAACAGTTGAGGTGGCAGATCTAAGTCCATCTTCTATTTTAGAATCAATTTTTTCTTTTCTTTTATCTGTAAAATTGTCGTTTTTCAGCAAACCGGAGGTAAAGGAGAGAAACCAGGAAGGAAACAACGGAAAGAAAGAAAGAATAGACAGAAGAAAGTTAGAGGAACGAAGAAAACTAAAATTGCAGCAGCGAAAAAATAAAATATTGTTGTTTGTTCTTAATACGTTTTGGTCTCTGCAGATAAATTGTTGGAAGTTGTATAGGGTGTTTAAATTGCATTCTGATAAAGTGACTGGCAGTTTGAGAAAGGGTTATTGCTTTATTTTTTTCTTCTCTTTTTGGTTGGGAAGTAAGCGTCTTCTTTAACCGCTTGAGTATGAAAAGGAGGGATTTAATGGCATTTTAGAAATGTATAAGGATTTGCGTTCAGTTTTATTTTCGCAGTTCGAGAAGAACGCTAGAGTTGGTTTTGTAAAGTTGCAGCTTCTCTCACCGTAGGTCTAATTTCTGTGGAATTTTTATTTTTTCTATTTTGAAGGGTGGTAAGAAGATGATGATGAGTAGTAGTACTATAAAAGTAGAAACAGAAAGAATTCTCATGTTCATATTTACCAGTTTCAGTTCGCATAATATTCTGCATTCAGATTATATTTTTGCATTTTAATTTGCCCATTGTTGGGGACTACTGTGAATGCTGAGCACTGGAAGGCTTTTCTGTATTTTTATTATGAATTAAACGATTTGGAGAAAATATATTATGCATATGAGCGGGTCGGACTGATCCTTTTTTGAGGGCAGAAATAGTTTCAGATTTTTGATGCAAAAGGTAAGATAAGGATTTACTACCCTTTTTTAATGAGGATGATTGGGAAGTGAAATCAGATGCGGAGTAGCCAAAGTAGTTTCGTAATCCTAATCGGCTTGGGAAGAAAGTGTAGTTGCGAGTCCGTCGGCACATTTTTTGTCCAAAATTGCTACAGTTCTGGAAAACTTGTAGGAGAGGCATATGAAGCATGAGCTCGTGATTCTTGGGGATTATTTAACCTGGATTCCGTCTTTATAGATACATTTTGATGTGAGATAAACATCTGGGCCTTCCGAATTAATAATGAATAATGATTTTGTAATAGTCTCAGTAATTTCTTAATGTCTTTTGATAGGACGATAATTGAGCTTTTTTGAATCTAGGAAGGTCGACGAACGTGTTTGCTGTCATTGTAAAAAGATACGATCGTTCACGTTGCGATTGGTCATGTTTCACTTCTCCAAGGATTACTCATGCCTGGGCAGAGCTTGCAAATAGCCAAAACAAGCGTGGACTTTATTGAACAGATATTGCAGCCTGTTGGTGCCGGTTTTATAGATTGCTAGTCTGCCGCTTCTAGTCGTCCTTCTTGTTAAAATGTCACAGTTATTCAAGTTTCTAGTTTTTGAAGTTTTCTGCCTTTTGTTTTCATACGGTATTCCATGTCCCGTCATGTCTGCCTTGCTAAACAGGAGTGGGGAATGTTTCAGAAGAAAAGGCAGATATAGAGTGTGCATGAAGGATGCACCGAAAATACGCCGTAGGTCAAAAATTTTTTTGATAAGGGCTGCAGGGTTTGATTTTATGATTATATATAGCCTCTCCATGCCAGGTGGCTTACGTTTTTGAAATAATGGGATAGTTTTTCACTTTGTATGAGAATACAAATAACTTTAAAGAGACATCCGGGAAGCTAAAACATTTATCCGGATGCATAATTCTAGTAGTCATGGAATAAGCAGAAAAAGAACCAATGAGTCAAGTGAGCCAATGAGGTTCAAAGCTTGCCTGGGTGTGATTTTATTCAGACTTCAAAAGCATCCGACAAGAACCGTTAATGCCGTTTTTTTTCAATAATTGAAGGACTATATTATCATATTTGAAAGAACATAATCTGGTGACTGCATGAAGCATTTTTGTCGTATGTGTCGTGCTTCAAATGAGATGAAACTGCAGGAGTAGACGGAGACACAAGCGACGCTGCCACTGCCGCCTATTCAAGTCTTGAAAAAAAATTGGGTCAGGGTCTTCAAATCAAATTCTGTTTCTGTACTTTTGGAGATTTATGCCTAACTGATGGTTAATATTGCTGTGTACACCTGTAGACGACAAATAATCGCGAAGCTAAAGGGGAAGAAAAAGCTATGACCTACGAAGTCGCATTTGGTGGTTCTGTATATATGATTGTTCTGAACTGTGGGATCTTACGACACTGGTAGGTTCTCTTAATGTTTATGCAGAGTAACCATTAAAAAAAAAGAACCATTCTCGGAACGTAACTAACGCTACACCATTTGCAGCTGGAAATATCAGTTGTTGTAAGTCGCTGAAAGGATTTACAGTCAGTTGTGATTTTGGCGGGAAAATGGATGGCATTAAAATTTTTTATGCATTTGGCATAACTCCTTCACTTACAGTGTTTCATTTTTTTAGCAAGCGTTAGACGATATTTTTAATCTCTATTTGTTTTCCATAAATGTATTTCTTTTACTTGTTGTTGTTGGGTGA